GGAGGTTTCCTGTAAATTACGACCGCATTGTGTTTTTTATTCTGTGCATCCCTTCTTGCTGCCCCCAGCACTTAGTGTGATGAGATTTTTGTCATGTATTTAAAAAAGTGCTTGGTTCCTGGCAGTGGTTTGCCTCTAATTTGATGCATAGAGAAGAGTTGAGGACATGTGTCAGAAGTTGTTTTCCATGAACGGTTTCGGGGAACTCAGTTGCTCTTGAGAGGGAGGTGAGCTTGTTTCTTCCATGTTCGAGTGCCGCAGGAGCCAGCCATCCTGCTGCGTCGTGGTCAGTTGCAGGTGTGCTCGTGTCCCAGCTCGTGCCTTACCTGACAAGGCCAATACAAAACACTCATCACTTGCTCCTGCGTTTTCGACGCCCAAACAGCCGCTAAGGCTGTCTGACGTTCTGCTGTTCTCTCCTCCCTTTTTGCTGCTCCTTGTCTCCATGTAGTCAGCAGTTACCTTCTAAACCTCCAGCCCTGCAAATCTTCCAGTGGAGATTCAGCAGCAGTCAGAGAGGTGGTGCTCAGAATGAATAATGCTGCACCTTTGTGCTTACTTCTCAGGCACCCGTGTAACCTCTGTTCAGTGTCAGGACGCACACCTAAACGAGGCTGATGCCATGCTCTCTTGTCCCTTCCTTTTGCTGTTGGTTTTATGCGCTTTCTTAGTTTAGCCAGCCAGCCCGCCCGCCCCACAGAGTCAGCTCTGAACCATCTCCCCTTTGTTCTGAAGAGGACTGAGCAGTATTGCACAGCCTCCTTTCACCTTACACCATTTGCATTGTCTGTTGCAGGTTTTATGTCCCGGTTCCAGGGAAACTGAACGTTTGTCTTGACTGTGTGGTCCTTCCCAGACAGCGCTCTATGTCTTAGCAAGTCCCAAAACATATTACCACGTCCTTTTATGCTCTGAACTTTATTCTCAAGTTGGATGTCATTTCAGCTTCCTTTATGACAACATGTAAGTTCCCTTGCACTTGGCAAGTGCAGGGTCCTGGCCCTGGGCAGGAAGAACCCCATGCACCGGGACAGGTGGGGGCTGAGGTGTTGGAGAGCAGCTGTGCAGGGCAGGGCCCGGGGGTGCTGGTGGGCAGGAGGTTGATCAGGGGGCAAGAAGGGGCCGTCGGGGCCAAGGAGGCGGAGGGCAGGGCGTGCGGCGCTGGGCGGAGCGCTGCCCCCGGCGGCGGCTGGAGGCGGCGGCTCGTTGCGGGGCGCCCGCCCCGGCCCCGGCCCCGGGCTGCCCGCCCAGCTGTGCCGCGCGGAGAGGCGGCGCGAGCTGGGCCTGTGTGGCCCGGAGAAGACTGGGCTGGGGGGATCTTATCAATGTAAGTAAGTAAGTAAAGTAAGTAAGTATCTGAAAGGAGGGTGTCAAGAGGGTGAGGCCAGGCTCTTCTCAGTGGTGCTCAGTGATAGGATGAGAGGCAGCAGGCTCAAACTGAAACACAGCAAGGTTCCTCTGAACATGAGGAAAAACTTCTTTACTGTGAGGGTAACTGAATACTGGTGCTGGCCGCCCAGAGAGGCGGGGGAGTCTCCATCCTTGGAGCTATTCAGAAGCCGCCTGGACACAGTCCTGGGCAACGTGCTCTAGGTGATCCTGCTTGAGCAGGGGGGGTTAGACTAGATGATCTCCAGAGGCCCCTTTCCACTTCAACCATTCTGTGATTCTGTTTGCATGCTGCTCTGATGCACTGAAGAGTGGGACTAACACATTTCCTCCCAGGTGGAGGTTTGATGCTGTGTGCTTCAGGCGTTCTTCCTACACGTTTCATCTACAGTGGGCAGCGGAAGGTCATTAATGCATTAGTCTTGATTGGCCTCCGTTGCTTGGCCCTGCAGTCAGTGGCAGTAGCTGGTTGTCTTGACCTCCAAATCGATGGCATTCAGAGCACCCTGCTCCCTTCACCATCTTTGTTGTTAGCGGGGAGCCTGTATCTTTGCAACATCTCTTTCTCAGACTTGTGTCATTCTTGAGCCATTTCTGGATCGTAGTGGAACTCTCTGAAACTGCGTCAGTTCACTCGGATTGTTTTAAGAGCTTATCTGCGATTCTTTAGTGGTTCGATACCAAGTTAACAACCTCTACTGAACATTTTTTTAAAACCAGTTGAATCTCATTTCATGTGGAGGTGATTATCTGCACCAAATGGAAATGCTTTCCTTGGAGAGTGAAAAGCCCCAGGACCTATGTCTTTGAGGAACTGTTAACTGTGGACAAAGGAGAATCAGTTGCTAAAAAATCTCTTCCCTTTTGTAAACCCCCTTAAATAGGTCCATTGCCAAAGAAACTAAGTAGCTATGGAATAAGAAGAAAGATCCTTGTAGTTTCAGATACTTCGCTGAAAGGTAGGAAGCAGAGGGAAGGAGTAAATGTTGCACTGAGAAAACTGAGGGGAGTCATCAGACAGTCCTGCTGGGATCTATGATGTTCAACATGTTTGTTGAGCCCTTTTGCCTGGATCAGTTTTGACCGAGATGACAGTTTGCTGCTATTCAAGTAATAAAAATAAATGCCAGCTGAAGAAGTGCAGAACGGTTTAGACTGTGGTTTGCAGCTGTTGAAATGGCAGATGAAGTTCAGCATAGGTAGTGGCAAGCAAGTCCCTTAGGAAGGGCAGTTACTGCCTTGTGGAGTGGCCTGTGCTCTGTGAGCACCTGAACTAATGGGTTCCCTGGCAGACTTTGCTCATGCTCACTCAACCCTGCAGCACTAATGATGGTGCACGTCCTGGGAAGGATATTTGCAGTGCAGGCTTGCTCTTATGCTCAACCAGCGCCTGGCAGGACTGAGGGCAGTAGCTGATGCCCCAGTTGATGTAAGCCTGTGTGATGCCAGACTGGCTTCCGCTTTATGGATTTCTGCCCTCACATGGGGCAAAGGCCTTTGTCTACATATGCGCTGTGGTGGAAGCTCTGAAAGGAGCCACTGACAGCAGTGCTGAGTCCTGTGGACCATATATGCTCATGCATCACCTGCCAGGTTGTCCTATGAAGGACTCTGGCTCCTACCAAGGCAGAACCTGGACAGTTGTGCTAGTTCTGCCTGCATTCATGACCAAGCTGTTTGTGTGCTCCCTGCAGTGTCTGGTCAGAAGTGATAACCATTTCTGTCCTCTGGCCCCCCGCGCCCGTAGATCTTCACAGGTGCTGATATCTTGCCCTGCCAAGTCCTGCAGACAGTGAGCACCGTTGCAGTCCCTCTGCCTTCGCTCTCCTATGCTTTCAATCTTGTCAGCCGCTCTGAATGCTTTTCCAACAACCTTCCCTCCATGCTCTCGTTCTCGTGACCGTGCTGGTGAGGTTCACGTGGTCCTGCCTTGTCACCCTGTTATTACTAGCAGGTTCCTGGTCACGCTGCAGCCGCAGCTCCCTTTGCTCCCTGATGGAGCCTTTTCGCAGGTCTGCTACCAGGAACATGGCAGGTGGAGGTTCCCCATCCCCTGCTCAGCCCTTGCAGCAGGGGCTGCAGTCTGAATGTCCTTGAACTGCAGTTAATCCAGATTCCCCTTTTGCAGCTACTGCTTTTCAGAGGTGTTCTCCCAAATTCTTTGTCATGGTAACTTGGAGGTAGTGTTCCTGCTGGTGTCCTCCTCCCTTTGCTGTTACAGAGTCCCTCTGTCTGGGTCTACAAGTCATTTGCAAAGTCGCAGCTGTTCTGTTGCTCTGCATCTCTTGCCTGCCTGGGGCTTAACGCTGAGTGCTAAAACCTCTGTCTGAATTCGAGTCTGTGTGCGATCCGTCTGGCTTCAGGAGAGGCCAGGTTATGGCTTGTCAAGGCAGAGACTGTATTTAAGAGAAGTGTGGTCCCTAGACATTAAAATGTCTACTACCCTGTTGCATTAGCAGTCCTTGCCATGGGGCTAGCCAGTCCTTAAATGATTTCAGTGTTTCTTGTGCAGGCAAGATTACGACGACTCCATGGAAGGAGATCCCACAGCTTTTCTGGCCCCTTTTCTAGTAGTTGACTACTGTTATCAGGGAAATGCTCCTAAAATCTATCCCAACTTGTGCCGTTACCTCTCGTCCTGTCCCTGTGCCCCCCAAAAGAGTTCAGCCCTTGCTTCTCTCCGCCCACGCGTTAGGTAGTTGAGGACGGGAATAAGATCTCTCTTTGCCTTCTCTTCTCCCAGCTGCACAAACCCACCTCTCGGGGCTTCTCCTCGTATGTCCTATGCTCCAGCCTGGTGGGCCCCCGCGTGCTCCAGGCAGCTCATGCCCATCTGGTACTGTGAGCCTGTGCAGGAGATGTCGCCTCACTGGTGCTGAATAGAGGGGATAACCCCTTCCCTCAGCCCGCTAGTTCACATGGACATTTCATTCCCTGCAAGCTTTTGCAATGTCTAAGCACCCAGGCCAAGGGCAGCTGCTAACATCAGCCAGGCTGAGGTTGAGGGCTGCAGTGCTGTGCTCCACTCCCCATTAATGTGTGGTACTTGGGGTTCCAGCTCTGCTGCAGCTGAGTGCCACTGTCCCTTCCATCACATCACAGGACATGCTGAGATAACGCATCTCTTCCATGACTTGATATGTGCTGTGCCAGACCCTTTTCCCAGTGTGATTCTGCAGGCAGAGCTTCATGCCTGGACCTGCAGTCAGCCTGTACGGCATTTTCTTCCCATTCCTCTGCGTGCCAGGTCTCCTGCCAAGGCCGTTCCTGGATAGTCGCCTGTCACTCTACCCAGAACAGCACCCGGAGAAGCTCTGTCCCAAGCTGAGACTTTAGGAGGGGATGGGGATAATCCTGCGGGCTCTGGCCCTTCTCCTCCCTATGCAGTCTCAAGGGAGATCTCCAGATGGGATGCTGTAAGCTGGGGGCTTAAGAGCCTTAATGATTAGTAGCAATGTCTCATCCCCCTTCCTCCTCCCCCGAGAGCCTCTGGGTTACCACAGGTTGTTCTTTGTTCATTCTTGCTTTCCTTTTGAGCTCTTTCTTTGCTGGCTCCAGGGTGGAGCAGGGACTCCACTCTCATCTCCCACGTGGATATCGTCCCTCAACAGGAACAAGGACACAACCAGGGATGAGTTCATCTTCTACTCCAAGCGCCTAATGAGGCTGTTGATTGAACATGCCCTCTCCTTCCTGCCGCTCAAGGTATGTGACCGCTCCTTGGGTGCTGCCATGGCCACATCATTGCCTTCCCTGTGCCCCCCTGAGCAAGCTGGGCCATGCTGGAGCCTGGATTTGTCTGTACTCTGTTAACCTCCCCTTTCTTCAGTCGGTTACTGTGGAGACGCCCCAGGGGACAACGTACGAAGGAAAGCGATTTCACAGGCAGAGGGTGAGACATTGTCCCAGCCCCTTTCTCCCTCGCAGACATGCAGCTCCCCTGTCTCTAGGGTTGGTACTGACTGGGAAAACTGGTGGCTCTCTGGGTCCATCCCTGTGCGTAGGAACTGCTTGGCTAGGCTCGTTTCCCCCATCCTACGGTGCAGAGATAAATGCATTCAGGCCTCGTTGGAGCCTCAGAGCTCCCCAGGGCACAGACTTATCTCTTGGGCCCTGGGTGCGAGGGTGTCGCAGAGCTGTGGAGCTGGGGAAGGGCAGGAGAGATCGGAGATTGGACTTGGGCATGAGGACATCTGGGGGCACCCAGCTGGTCTTGCTGCCGCGCTGTGGAGACAGTGCTGTGTGCCTCTGAGGAGGCTATGGGGCTACTGCTCTGGAGGCAACGCGAGGGGCTGGGCTCCTCCGCTCGAGTGAGCGACATGCAGGGGGCTCATCAGGGTTGCTGTTCTCCTAGTGCAACGCAAAGCAAACATGCTCTTGTCCCTTCCCCAGATCACAGGCGTGTCCATCCTGAGAGCAGGGGAGACCATGGAGCAGGCCCTTACTGCTGTCTGCAAAGACATCCGGCTGGGCAAGATACTCATCCAGACCAACCACGACACAGGGGAGCCCGAGGTGAGCGGTACCTGCTGGCCTGGGGCCGTTTCTGGCGTGGAGCCTCACGGCCAAGCTCCTGTCCTCAGCCAAGGCATCACGGGGTAGATGACCCTGTCTGCTTCCCTCCGCAGCTCCACTACCTGCGCCTGCCCAAGGAGATCAGCGAAGACTACGTCATCCTCATGGACAGCACCGTGTCCACGGGCGCTGCAGCCATGATGGCAGTGCGCGTCCTGCTGGTGAGGGGACGAAGCTGGCGGGGCACAGGGGCTGGGGGCACGCAGCCCTCCTGCAGCTGGCCAGGCTCTCACGACTGCCTGTGCTGCAGGACCATGATGTCCAAGAGGACAAGATCTTCTTGCTGTCGCTGCTCATGGCAGAGATGGGGGTGCACTCTGTGGCTTACGCCTTTCCTCGTGTCCGCATCATCACCACTGCCGTGGACAAGAGGATCAACGAGGAGTTCCACATCATCCCGGGCATTGGTGAGGGGTGGACACTGGTGTGTTGGCCACACAGCCTGTGCCTCGCGTGCCCCTGGCCAGGCCCCAGGGTCTCCCTTGTCTCGTCCCGTCCTTGTCACAGACCGCCTGGGCACCCGCGGGGGGACTGTGATGGGGGTGCCACGGTGCCATGCTGAGAGCAGAGCCCTGTTCCCCAGGGGTCCTCGGCTGTGCTGGGGAGGGCGCAAAGCGGGATGGGGCCCAGTGCTGCCATTACCTCACACTGTCCCCTTGCCCTTCAGGGAACTTTGGGGACAGATACTTCGGTACGGACGCCCCGTCTGCCTGGTGTGACAGTGACAGCATGGACTACTGAGCTGGCTGCCCTGGCCACCAGCCGGGCTGCCCACCTCTGCCCCCAGGAGGGGCTCTGAGCTGCCAGCCTGCGCCCAGTCCCAGCGCGGGGCCCCGTGCCTACCCTAGGCGCTGCAGCCCAGCA